AGAGAGAGAGAGAGAGAGAGAGAGAGAGAGAGAGAGAGAGAGAGAGAGATGTCTGCTTCCGAAAAGTGTTGAATTTACATGCTTGTTTTGATAATAGGCAAGAAAAATGAATCGGTCTAATGAACACGAATTCCAAAGTGAATGCAATGTGATGGAAAAAAAGGTCCTCCATATTTTGTAGTTCAAAGAGAACGCCGAGATAAAACGGGAGACGGAGAAAGAGAGATGAACAGAGAGGGAGAGAGAAACCGAGCGAAAATAATAGAGAATAGCGTAGACAAAATACGAATCGAAGAAAATTTTTCTGTACATTCACCACAGAATACACGAGATAGAGTCAAATATAAACTATGAATATGCATAGCGTAAGGTTATAATTTGTATGGAAAATGGAACAGCAATCTCTCGCTCTTAAAATAACACGAGGGCAGAAAAAAGGGAAAACAATTCGATGAAAGTTAGAGGATATTGCACAGTATCTCGAAATATGTTTGAGTGTGAATAGCGCGCACAGCATGAACATCGTTGTTGATATGTATAGTATATATATATATATATATATATATATATCCATTTAGCATTGAAAATGCCCGTTGCTTTTTTTTCTTCTATCCCTATACAATCTGTTTCATTCTCTCTTTCACGCTTTCAATATCTCAGCGCCGTTCGCTCTCACCATTGGTGCCGACCAATATACAAACACACACATACAAACGGACGCAATGAACCCAAAATGTGCATAGAGCAGCAAATATACATTCAAAACAAATATTTTCATGCACCCTCAATGACATTTGCAAACAGCAAAGCATTCAATATCCCCCATTTCGAATGCACTCCACTTCGGTGTACACTCAAATGATGCTTGTTTCAAACCATATTGAAATGCATTCAGGGTGTTGAGAATGGCATCTTCATATTCTTGTTGTCCCTATACAAAATTCCGCGCGCATTTTTCATTCATTTGAAAGAAGAAAAAAACTCGTACACATACACACACCATCCGAACAAATCAAAAATCTTGGGTGTCAAATGCGACGCCGCATTTTCCGAGTGGCCTGCACACTCTGACTCATTTTTTATAACTTTTTAAATTAGATGAGTGCATGCAGAATATTATTCAGCTCACGATGAAACAAAAGGCTCGCATTTGAATGAGTGTTGCCGGAAATAGAGAAAGAGAGAGAAAGAGTATGAACGAGACCGATGATGGGAAAATGTGTATGCAGATGGATTTAAGCGAATGGCGCGTCATCAAATGCAGAAGTGAAAGAAAAGTTTAATGAACTCATTTTCATTCGCGAATAATGAATAAAATTGGGCGCAACATGACAGACAAAACACATTAAAATCAATTCAATTCGTTATCATGCCATCGATCCACTTCTCTCCGGCCAGCTCAAATAGAGAAAAAACCCAGCACACATTTCAGAAATTGGATAGAAAAAGTGATTCAATTGTGCATACTTTGAATTTTGTTATCTTAATATGCGTTGGTTTGCTATAATTGTTTTACTTTTTTTTATGTCTATAATTAATCATCAGTTTTGCTCATCAAAATGGAATTAGAACTCATTTCACGCTCGCAAAGTGCGCTTCTAATGTTATCTCTGGCAAATGAAAGAGCTTGTACCGCGCGCACACACATCACATAAAACAAACAAAATGGAACGAGAAAAGACATGAAAATATATGAGCATGATAAAAGAAACCATGTTTGAAATTCACCTTATCAGCGTCAGTATCACTGTTATCTGTCATTTTGGCTAGTCTTGCTGCTTCTTTGAATGGTTATGTCGCGAGCGTACACAATTCAACGATAAAATTTTCTGATGCTGTTGCTGTCGCTTTTTTTGCCGCTGTCGTTGCGGTCGTCGTAGTCGTCGTTGCCGTGGTCTCCGTTGTCAGTTTAAAATAAATCAACGCTTTAAATTCGTTCCAAATTTTTGGTGACTGTTGCTTCTGTTGTATCCTCTCTATCACTCTCTCTACTCGGCTACTATTGCTGCTGCTGCTGCTGATGTGTTTGCTTAGTTCCAGATAAGATGCGTTTAAGAACAGCCTTTGATTTTTGATGCGGTTGCCTCGCGTTGTTGCATGACATGTGATTCAATTGTCTTTTCAACACATTTCGTAACATTTTTTTATCTCTTTTACTTTCTATTTTTCTCGCTCTTTTCTTTCAAATTCACAAATGGTACCACCGTTGTTGAGCTTGTTTACGTTATAATTTAGGATGATTTCCAATGAAATGTGAATTGATTCATAGTTTTAAAAGTTTATCACTATTTGGATGCATGCACTTTGTATTTATTTTTATTTTTTTTTTCAAATGACGACACGAAAATGATGATTGAAACGTGTTACTTTGTACGCACAAATGCAACCAATGACTCGGAGACTATCCATATCGTTGTGCAACTCGCAAACGGGCAAATGCTCTCTAGAGCTCACCCATCATACTTTGGTATGTAATTGATTGGCATATTCATTGGCGTTCGTTCGACGTAAAATTGCATTGCAATATCCAATGATATTTCTCACACACGTCAACAGACACATACACACACACACAGAGAGAGAGAGAGAGAGAGAAAACGCGCACGGATCTCGCGGAATTGATGATGATGATAATAATGGTGATGCGCTGTTCGAATATTAAGAAAACGAAAACATACTCAATTGTTTTGCACAAACGATACCATGTACAAAAACATTATCACATCACACAAAAGCATCCTGCATCGATAAATGATTATTCGGGCATTTGTTTTGTTTATTTGATGCTGCTCCATTTGTTTCTTCTTCTTCTTCTTCTATTTTTTCGTCGCCGTTTTACGTTCACATATTTTTATATTGCTTTTAAACCGTAAAAAATGTTTCACTTGTTGTTGTTGATGGTGATGCTGATGCATTTCATTCTAACGCACTTGTATGACAAAACTATAGAACAGAAAAAAATGTCTGAAAAAATGGCAAACACACCACACTCACGCACCATCCGTTATTCAATATTCTCTTTTTTCTGCAAACTTGTGACGATTGGTGTTGGCGTTGGCCGCTTAGTTTTATTTTTCCTTCTTTTTTAATCTATCGCACCAACTAACCAACTAAATGAATTTTGAGAAAGTTGCCATGAAACCGAACAAATCTAACGAAATAAAAACACACCACGATAAACCAAATAGAATAGAGAGTTGCAAAATAAATTTAAAAAAAAAACAACTCGAAATCGCGAACAAATGTGAACACAATAACACAATAGAAATTGGCAGCAAAAACGCTCGTTTACAGCTACGAAAATTGACGACGAAACCGAGAGAAGAGATGAAACAGAGTATGGCCACAAATACACACGCTGCAAATGAATGTGTATGCACTGTACAGGAGAAACAGAAGAGAAGACGAAGAAGTCAACAGAAACAGAGAAAAACGACGACGATGACGATGACAACAACAACACACACACAAAAACACACGGCAGGCCGATATCACAAAAATTCGGTTTCTCTTGTATGCAAACGCTTTTTTCCTATTAAAAACACAGAGAGAACAATGACATCTACACTGGTGCTGAGGGTAAATCGAATAATTTATTCGAATTCACGCACATACGCGATGGATGGATGGATGGTTGGTTGAAACAAGTTGCAGGCTACACAGCACTCGGCCTGTGAGCGAATGAGTGAGCGAGTGAATGTGTATGGGTGCGCGCCACAGACACAACATTCGACGAGGATGTTTTTTTAGGGTGGCACTAAATGGCCATGGCAGACGAATGAAATTGCGAAAAATGATTTTGTGTTGGTTTTAACCAATTGTCTTGAGGATTTTGTTTTTGGATTGTTTTTCACATTTTTTTATCGACTTATTGGGGAAATGTCAAGTGCTGCTCTTCAGAATGTCCAGAAGAACTTCTTTTAAAGAAGGATCGAATAAAATTCGTGAACTTGTTCGCTAATCTCGTTATTTACCATTCCAGAGCATTAAATAATGATATTATATATTGCATTCACTTGATTACACCATATTAAGCATGTCACTTGGTTCAACATTGCCGTTTCGTCGAAGCACTCTAATGTTTGATCAAAGGCCATATATCCAGCAAACCATCCGTGTTTTTGCTTACAACATTTGAATGTGTCGAACAAATACGGACTATACTATATATTTCGTATACTTATTTGAACGGTCTATTTTTGTTGTCATACATCTAAGCATTTACACCAGCTAATCGGGCAGTACGCAAGTAACTGTCAATGGTTGTGTGAGTGTGAGCGCGAGCAAGTGACTGTAAAAGACAAGTAAAATACACACAGCGCGACCAGAATGCATACCAGAAATGAGTGAGTATGTATGTGTGTGTGTATGAGAGTGTATGAGCCGTATTTTAACCCACCTTCATGCTATTTACTGTCACACACCGCTATTCTCGTTGCGTTTCTATTCATTTGGTGTGTTAACCAGTTGTTTCGCACTGTGTTATCTCTCGCTCGTTTGCTGAAGTCGTTTTCTGTTTGAATTGTACGTTGTTGAGAGAGATAATAATTGTATTTTGATGTTTCCTACAAATGAACATTACACAGAAATTCAAAGAAGAAACGAATGAAACACAAAATGATAGAAAAGACGTATATCATTAAATGAAGGAAAAGTATTTCTATATGAATATGTGTACGGTAATGTTGTCGCAACCACACGGAAAATAGAGAATATTATTGACACAGAGGGAGAAAAAGGAAGAGGAAGAAGAAGAAGAAGAAGTCAAAGCAAAAGAAAGGGAAAAAATGATGAATGCTGCGCAAATCATCCTGTTGATTGCATGTGATGAAGGACAGCATGAACATGCTCCAATTCACTTCTATAGCAACATTTATCCTCCTGCTACGTTTTTTTTTCTTCTGCATTCTGTTTCTCTCTGACACTGTAATTCCTTTGACACTTGCTACAAAACACTGGTGATATGATTACTAAGCAGAGCCTCTCCTAAAGTGTTTATACAACAGACGAAGCAAAAATAGAATGAAAATTGCAATTTTTTCTACATAAACCGTTGTTGGCATTTCATTTCGGCTCTGTGTGTATGTATGATGCAATTGACACCCTTTTAGCGCGCTTATTAGTTGTCATGTGATTTTTGTCAACGCAAGCACAAACGCAAATGTAAACAAACATGAAGTTGTGCGCACAACACACGAATAGCCCGGGAGTTAACGCTTTTTTTTTCTTTAATTCTTCGCTTTCAGGACAATTATTACTATGCGAGCGTCATCAAAGCGCGCGTGCTAACAATGTTTACGTATGTAATCTCTTGCCTCCACTTAATTTGCATAATGAAAAGCTTTATTCTCACATCGCTTTCCATGTAAAATGATTGACACCATGTAAAATTTCCGTACAAAAACACAAAGAGAGAGAGAGCCCATTTTCGAACGGTGGAAAAAACAAACTACCATGAGCTGCTTGAATGATAAAACTGAAACTCATCAGAAGTGTAAACAAGTTTATGGAATTCAATCGAAATGCAGCCGGCGGTCATAGCAAATTACTTAACACCAACGAAAGAGAGAAAGAGACAAAGGTAGAGATAAAAAAACAGCAATCGTAGTGTTAATGTGATTTTAGCGCGTTTTTCTATGAATGTATTTTATTCGCAGTATGTGGGGTTTTTACACAAATAATAACGACATTAAAATCGATACGATTGGATGACAACAAAAACCAGATGATTCGGTCGGGCAAGGTTATCACTATATTGCAAATGTATGGAATTCCAGTTTTGGGTTTTTTTCTTCTCCCGTGCTGGCAATTTTCGCTCCTCTGCACACGCACATTCTTTGCTTTTCGTGTTTTAATGTAATGACCCAATCTCTAGTCGGAATTTCAACCTGTTTGTGAACACATCTTTTACATTTAGCTCATAGTTTTCAGTTTGTAAAATAACATTTTGCTTAGAATCATTGAAGAGGAAGCTTCCTGGAAATCTTATCCCATTTACAATGAATTTCTTCACAGTTTTCACATTATGTGGTGAGTCATTTCTGAAGTTTCTTGTTTTTAGTGTATTTAATTTTGTTGATCGCTTAAAATAATGTTTATTCATGTTTATAATAGTGACAATTGCCGTGGCATCAGCATGGCCACAAAGACAATTCGCCGGAAATCCATTTTTCCAAAATCAACCACAGCAAAACGGTCAATTCTTCCCAAATCAGGTAGGACTCCCAAATCAACCACAACAAAACGGTCAGTTCTTCCCAAATCAGGGAGGATTCCAAAATCCAAATCAAGGAGGTCAAGGGTTCCCCAATCAAGGTGGTTTCCAAAACCAAGGATTTCCTAATCAATTGGGTCAGAATCAAGGAAATTTCAATCAAGGTGGCTTCCAAAACCAAGGATCTTCCAATCAATTCGGTCAGAACCAAGGTCAATTCCGACCCAATCCAAACAATCCATTCCTACCACAGAACACGTCACCCAATCCCGATATAACCACCGTTGGAACGCAAGGAATTGTCGATCAGATCTTCGGTCGCCCAAATCAGAGCAGCAATCAACCGGGACAATTTACAAATCCAACACAAAACCAAGTGACTGCCACCACACCGGCTGCTGCTCCAGCACAGTCGCCGGCATTCTTAAGATGTACCCGTGAAGAATGCCTTACAACAAACGAATATAATCCAGTTTGTGGAAGTGATCAACAAGTTTACAGCAACATTCGCAAATTGGAATGTGCAAATCAATGTGGACGACGATTGAATCAAAACTGGCAAGGTAATTAGCACATGAATAAATTTGTTCAATCATAGCTGAACTAAGGTGTTTTCTTTTGTTCTGCAGAGGTTAGAGTGCTTCGATCAGGTGCATGCGCATCTGGACAACGAGTCTCTTAAATATGATGATTTTGTTTCCAACAAATCGAAATGGATTTAACCTGCCGTCTCTTCAATGGAATCACCGCATGGAACACAATTTTTTTTTATCTTATAATTTTATTGAACGAAACTTTTTGAGTATTCTAAACCGATTTAAAATAAGAATTGCATGGCCGTAAATGATGTGATAATATTGGGTATATGTGTTAATTTCCGGACTTTTTTCGAAGATGACGCAAATAATACAATATCATATCGGGTAATATTGTTGCTACCTGCATGTCAAAGTACTGTTGAAATACTATCTTTTCCAGTATGTCCCATTTTTTTGAATTCAAACATAAATAATTTTTTTTCACCCTGTAATGGTAGATCGACGAGTCTGTAAATCGACTTTCGCGGGAGCTGGTTTTTTCACACGAAAAAAAATGTGAAAAAAAGATTATTCTTGTATCGGGTTGGCACTGATTATGAAGAATAAACCCTTCTCGATAGACTCAAGCATTAGGAACCATATTTTGATCGCTTGCAATCGCTCCTTCGAAAATGGGTGATTTGCCATGAGGGTGGGGAAGATATAGGAGGTAAAATTATATCAAAATGATAGACTTGATCGTTCCCAACAATAACTAATCGGCGTATACCAATTACTTACAGCAGAATTGAAAAATTTATACAATGTAAGGAAAATCTGGTTTTCAAAGGCACAATTTTTCAATGACTTTTCACCGAAAAAGTCGAAAATTTCTAAGAAGCAGTTAAATTCGAATATCCGCTTTGCCCCCGCTGTATTCTCCAGACATTGCGCCTTCTGCCTACCAGTTGTTTCAGGCTATTCAAAAACATCTAAGTGGAAAACAGTTTGCTTTTTTTTCTTCAAAAACTCGAAAAATGGATCGATCTTCAAATATGGTCAAATGTACCGTTATTTTTTCGAAATGTTTTTTGTAAATTATCTGAAATATTCGGCGAAGTATTTGTCGCTTCCGATGGATAATACTTTAATTAATTTATACTTTTATTTTGTTATTAAATTAAATGAGTTTTTTTGTTTAAATAAAAAAGCCCGGAAATTAATGCATTGACCCAATATGTGCGTGGAAATGAAGCTTATATAAAAGTGGACCAGACATTCCGTTTGGCTGCATAATGAGCTGAGCTTTTTTCAAATAGCTGGCTGTTTGGTACATTTTGATTTTGTGACGAGCGTGTCATTCAAATTCATGTGGAATATTGAATTTGTGACACCTTTTTCAATCCTTTTCACGAATTTTTTTGTCATAAATTCAACATTCCACATGAATTTGCATGGCACGCTCGTCACAAAATCAAAATGTACCAAACGACCAGCTATTTGAAAATAGCTCAGCTCAATATGCAGCCAAACGGAATATCTGAAGTGGGCAAAGTCATCGCCGTTTTTGCGATACAATAATGAAAAGAATGATTAATATATAAGCGATCAAAATATTTGAATGCTAGCCAAAATTATTAATAAAATATTTGTCAAGAATTTGTGTTCTTCTTTCGCTATCGTTTGCACAGATTGCACTATGTGTTTACTCAAATCAATAGAACGTACATTGAACTCTTGGAATTGAATGGATTCACATACAGATTTACATTTTGCCGTAACACATTAATATTGTAACGAAGAGCCAAAGTAATGCTATTACAATTGTAATAACATTACAGGAAATTTTTGTTAACGTAATGCTACTACCTACTACATTTTTAATGCCGGTAAATCTGTAGATTCCAATCGGCTCTGTCTACGTTATGAAAAGGTATTCGCAGAAACAAAACAAGCTGCCTTACATTCGTACGGATAACTTTTCTACACTCCCACATACACCACAGGCCATAAGTTTGGATACCCCTATGAAACGTTTGTTTCTACGTTTTTTGAACATTTTCACTTGAAATTTAGTATTGGATATGAAAATATATCGAAATTCTGACCGAATGGATGATTTGGAAGATAACATTTGGCCGGCCTATGGCCATCTTTTGGCCTTTGAGCTGTGGGAGCCAAAATCGAAGTCTTAAACGGGCCATCGGATTAAAAAGTTATATACGCCATTGGAAAGGTCTTGAAAAGTAGATGTGATTTTTGGTATTAAACATCAAAATCGGCCGGCGTTTGGCCAAGATATGGCCGTTTGTAATTTTTGGCCGAAATCTTCAATCAGCCATATCTTGGCCAAAAGCTGGCCGATTTTGATGTTTAATACCAAAAACTATACGTACTCTCCGAGAACTTTCCAACGACGTATAGCATGTTGAAATTGGACAAGCGGTTTGAGATTTAAAAATTTTGGGCCAAATTCATTCATAGGGGTATCCAAACTTATGGCCTGTGGTGTATATAATTCTAAATTTAAATTAGATTCGCATTTCAATCAGACCTTAATGACAGGGTAATTTCAATTTTCCATTTTCTATACATTGTAACATAGCAAAAAATGTACCGTGTTTTTGCGTACAGTGTACAACGCATCTACCCTACGACCCTGAAATTATGCTAGATTTCGCAATTTTCAGAGCTCGAAAATCGAAAAAAAAACTGATTTTAAGGGGGTCAAAAAATCGAGGCGATCCCAATACTTTTCGTATACGACATGGTCGTGTGGAAAAGTAAAAAGAGACTCAATTGTATTTATTTGATGGAAAATGGGGAAAGAACCAAATCAAAACAAAAATCGGTGCCAAATCAAATGAAATCAAAACGAATTCACTCGATTCGCCACTGCATCACCAAAAGTATACAACATGTTGAATCATCAAATGTGTCACTTCCTTTTCTTGTGTAATCCGAAATTCGGCGGAATACTTGTTAAGTCTCAACAACCATATAAGTCGAATCGAGTGTTTCGCAGACTGCCATTGAATTTGTTTATCAAAACATCGATTTTATTTTTTCCACTCGATCAAGGCTGTTCGTTTTTTTTTACGCGTTTGTAAAATATTTTTAGATAAACACAACGTGAATTTACCATATGGCATTCCATTGAAATTAGGTTAAAGATGAATGAAATCTTCGATTATTTATATCCAAAGTTTTCTCTTCTTTTCAATTATAAGCAATGATTTTTCGAATGATTTTTTTTTTACATTTAATCGCATATTAAGCTTACTAATACCAAGCAAATTCAATTCATTGAAAGAAAGACGAAAAAAAAAAAAGATAATCGTTACCGTTTCGATGGAATACGGAAATATAATACAAATAATGCATATCACATATTGCATATTTAAAATAATGTCAGAAAATGAAATAACACAGACTTGAGCACTCGCCGCAATTGTTTTTTTTATTAACATGATAATTGTTTCAATTATATTTATTAAAATCAATGACAAAAAGTGCTGCAATGAAAGTGAGCTCACCATTCAGATGCATACAATATACGAATTATTTCAGCCGTAAAAAGGCAGTGTGTATGACGTGCATTCATTAAGATTACATATTTATATCGGTACATTCAATGACACGGCAATTTTTCGGGTAATTCCCAACGAATTGTAATTTTTGGTTTTCAAATATTACAACGGCTTCGGTAATGAACGGCAAAATGTATGGAATGAATTATTAAAACTACTGTTGAACGGTTGACATTTTAATCATTCGATATGGAGGGAGAGAGATGGAGGGAGAGACAGAGATAGAGAGAGACAGAGAGAGATAGACAGAGAAGGTGAAACGAAAAAGACGATAATCTTTGGAATTTTTTTTACCTACGAATTGAACTTGACGAGATATTTTGTATTAATAATAATAATAAGAAAAATTCGTAAAATGTAAATTTTTTTGTTTTTGTTTTCTTGATAACACAAAACGAAGCGAAACTATAACCAGCCAAGTGGAAATAAAATGAACGGGGGAAAAACCAGTAAGTCCCTGGAAACAGGTGTGAAATATGCAACACTAAATTATTACAAAATCGTTCTACCAAAACGCATTTACATCAACACTATGTTTTTCTTACATTGTTTTTAAAACGATACATTTTTGAGTAGATATTTTTATACAATATAAACGTCATCTGGCCACCTGCTGTCTGCTAAAGATATCGTCCGATGAATTTGATTAAACTAGAAAAAAAAACATATTTGGATTAGATGGTATGTGAAGCATATTTTCCATTAGCATCGAAATCTAATTTTAATTCATTAAAATTAAAAGTCAAAGAGCCTTGAAGCAAAACAAAATCAGACAGACAGACAAAAAAGAAGAAGAAGATGAAGAAGTGATTCTCTCTCATAAAAGACGGTTATCAGTGCTCTCTTTTTCTTCGTTCATCTCTGTTCCGTAAATCAACACCAGCCAATTCGCAACGATACAAAAATAATCTACACACAATGAGCTAATCAACCGATTGTAGAGACGAGCAATTGGGCTGGGTGTTGTTTGGTTGTTTTTTTTTTCATCTCATTTTGGCAACCTTTGAATACATATATTCATTGTGCTTAGTTATCTGCATTTTCATTTCTCCATAACAACTGTTATTATGATGAAAGATTTCGCAGAATTTCGTCGTATTTCCGATTGAATAAATATTGCCCGGATTGCTTGCATCGGTTGTTCGATTGATTGCTCGGTTGCCGGTGAGTCGACACAAAGTCATTGAAATTGATTTTATTAATACTCAAGTTCAAAAGGAAGAGTTTTGTATTGTGTTTTTCTTTTCATAGCATGTTTTAAATGAGCCAAAGCCTAATCTTCCTGAGAGATTCTTCAATGTTATTGCTAAACGATAGTGTTGTGCAATTCATTTGCAAATGGTATACTTAAAAGAAGTCAATACGCTTTGAATTTGTATATATAAAAATAAACACTTTTTTTCTTCATAAATTCTATTCAATTGAATTTATTTCGGTTACAATTGGTTTTTAGATGGCTTTTGATGCATGCACTTAAAACTCTTTTTGAATGAAGTGAGCAATTTTGATAAATATTTATGCGGATTCATCATTGCATTGCAGAAATGTAAAATGAGAAGCAGACGTTGGCGAAAAAAGCAGCAACCGTAAAACGAAAAATATAATAACTGAAATGGCATGAAAAAAAGAGTCAAAGGAATGCATTTTGAGATGATAGTTTGCACCATAAACGGTGAGCAGCTTTGACTCAGACTCATTTGATGGTGAACACCTTTTATTTTTATGGCTGTAAACTATCACTTAAAATAGATAGTCTATTTTTTTCGTCGTCGTCGTCGTTGTCGTTGTTGTTCATTAAACTCTATGTGGAAATTCCGTTTCCGTAGTGCACGAAAGCAAAAAAAAAAACGCACTGACGAATATCAAAAATGATAATATTTGCATTGCGTCTCCGCTTGAATCATTCCATATTTTTTACGTTCGTATTTCAATTTATAATGTGTGTGCGTGTGCAATTTAATAGGGAGATGGAATTAAATCGTGTCAATGCAAATGCAAATGCAAAATGAAATGAAAATAAGAAAAGAGCTCTCGTTTCTTTTCTTTCTCTCTCTCTCCCTCTCGCCGTTCCCTTTTCTTTTCCGACTGTATCGTCGACTTGATTGTGCAACTTGGATTATGGCTTTGTATTGGTGATAATTTGCATTCATTCATTGCCAACTGCAGTTTGTGTTGATTGACGTTACTAATTCATGTCGATTTCGTTTGTAATGAATGAAAAACGCTCGACCAAATGCGCGTCAAAAAAAAACGGCGATCTACAGGAAGAACTCGGTGTGAAAAAAAGCAACGAATCGTCGGAATATTTTCGCTAGAGTGTTTATTAGTCAAAATGTTTGGAATGTCTGCGCTTGTTCCGCGCCTTTCACATCACGAGACGCACACACGTATTGGTAAACCTCGTCGTCTGTAGTAAGCTGATAACGAAACGTATCAAGCCAAAATGTTGAAGTGAGAATGAAGCGAAACTGAATTATCAAAAAAAAAGAAGAAGAAGAAGAAGAAGAGAACACACAGTCACATACATACAAATGGAACGCATTAAAATTAAAATGATGGCCAAAGACGAAGTAAGTCGAAACGAACTAAACCAGACACACAACCAGGACCAGTTGACGATGCGAAGTGAAGATGATTCCGATACTGTCGCTCACCGTATAATTTATACAATAATGTAATCCTCTTAGCTTGTCTGGTGGTGATCCTTCGTCCCGCCGTCTATTACACAAAAAGCGCATTCACACGGAGGCCACAGCACACACACATATTCACAATCATCGTCACACCGTCACCGTTTTCGTTATCGTCGTCTTCTCCGTTGTCTTTTGTACAAAACACACGCACATACACAGGACCAACGTGATCCGAACGAGAGATATTCATTTATAAACAATTTATTGCAGCAAAAGCTGCAGAGGACAAAGCGAACGGGCAACCAAAGACACAAGGATAAAAGCCAAGACCTTATCGGAAAGCATTCGGTGAGTGTTGGCGCACATAGAAAAGAGAATTATTAGACCCTGCGAATTCCATTGGTGAAACGTCAAACTACCAATAGATTGTTTCAAATGTATTGGTAAATTCAGTACAAACGGCACAACGCAAGTCGCAAGTCGCAAGTCACTTACGTAGTATTAGTAAACGAAATTCGGCATTTGTACTGAAATTACCAATACATTTGAAACAGTCTATTGGTAGTTTGATGTTTCACCAATAGAATTTGCAGGGTCTACTGATTCTCTTTTCTATGTGCGGTGACAGCGGCGGGCAATGAGCACCGAGGTGAAAATCGAGAATGCATCTTTTGCCGTCAGTTCGTTATTTTTTCTCTCTCTTCGTTAAATTCATTTTGGTATCCATTAAACGTATCCCGCCATATGGTCGGGAGCTAATTTTGCTCATACACAAAAATTTGCTGGCCGTTTTTATATGTCTATCATCAGTACACCGCTCTCTCTCTCTCTCTCTCTCTCTCTTCCTCTTTCTCTGCCTCTCTCTCCCTCATCGATATTTGAGCACATATTCTAATTGCATCGTATGTTTTTACCAAGTCGCATCGTTATCGGAAATCGATTAAGTTTTAGCGCAAAACATTCAATTGCCAACTATTTGTTGTTGTTGTTGTTGTTTTTTTTTTCTTTCATTTCATTTTCTTCAAGCACGTCTCAACACCGAAATACCATTTGCAATGGCAGCTATTAGTCGATTTCAAGGCGTTTTTAATGAAAACCCAACGATCAACGTTGAAACGACCATTTTGAAACTATAAAAGTTTCTGGCTGCATTTGAACATACGCAGGGACACAGACACAAACACAGACACATAGAGGATGTTATTTAATGATGAAACTTCAATGATGCCATTGCCATATCAAATGCAATCGCTTCGAATTTCATACAGAGTATAGCCTCTTTCTTATGTGCATTAAATGGACGGACATTGGCGGTCATGCATATGTGCTCGCATACGGCATATACCTTTGAAAATAATGACTTTACATTCCGCACGAAAATTGAATCTAATCAATGCATTGACTTGTTCACGAGAATGAACCAATGAAAAGCATCTGAAGGCAACACACGATCAAGAGCCGACAATATAATAACACAAAAAGAGGAAGCTCAATTGCAAAATGTACGTAGCGCAGTCGACGGATATATGTCTGTCGGCTCTTTAAAAGTAAATCGGCGGTCATTCAAACAAGTGGATGAACGAGCGAGCGAGTAGGAGAGAGAGAGAGAGAGAGAGAGAGAGAGAGAGAGAGAGAGAGAGAGAAAAGCACGAAAACAAAAATCAGAAAAATCAAGAGTAAGTATGTGATTCCAGTGCATGAGCGCCATGTGCATTGGTTTTGATTCTCAGCTTAGTGTCGACTATTGCTTTTTAATTATGAAAAGTGTTTACTTTGCCTTTGTTCCAGCATCATCATCAATTGCTGCAGCGAAAACACTGAACGGATAGACAGTGGGCGCTCGCGTTTAAAACGCTCGCCATAGATGTTTCTTTATTAATCCTAATGCTCTCTCTCTCTCTCTCCCTCTGTCTGTTCGTATCAAGCAGTTTTCGCAGCAACATCAACTCAACTATCAAATCAAGTGTTGTATGTCTGCACTCCGGGCAAAATGACAGCAAGTGCTATTCACCAAGTTGCCGTGTCTGTGTTTGTTTTTTTTTCAATTGGCTCACAGACTTTGTAGGCAATATTATGTTGTTGTTGCTGTTGTTGTGTGAATGTTTTTAATTGAACGAATTTACTTATGCACTAGATCGAGTTGTGAGACGTGACAGGTCATGCGTGACATTGTCATGGGTACGATTTATTGTGAAAAATCTTTTTGGCGCAGAGACGAGTTTGAGGGGCGATCGAGATGGCTGAATGTTACATTGAATCCAGAACGAAACACATGCATAAATTACTGAAGCGATACAACGGTCAAAGCCCATGCAATTGATTCGGCTGCAACAGTATGCAACAGGTTTAATGACATGCACGCAAGTTGCGTTTCGCAACGAAACCAAGTGGAAATGTAAAAGACACACTCACACACAACAATTGAAGTGAAAAAAAAACACGAACCACACATTCACTTGGCGAATAAACCAAATCCATACACATAAGCAGCAAATCAGCATTAATACAAATAAAGAAAACAATTGCAAAATTGCGTCTGTTCGGTGTCGTCTATCGGGTTGGGTTGCTGTGCTGTTGACAAATGCGTGCACGATACCACGACTTCATTTTCGAATCAATTGTAATGGTCATGGTGTGCAACGACGTAGCCCCCCTGCAATTGACATAAAAACAAACACGCTGGCTATATAGTAAAATAACTGGCTGACTGACTGGCTGACTGGCTGACTGGCTGACTGGCTGACTGGCTGACTGGCTTGCTGGCTGGCTCAGTCGCGAATCCTTTTTAATACTTTTCAACTCAATTGTCAGCCAGTCAACAGGCACACACTCACTCACTCACTCATATACTCTCACAACAAAACATCAACAAAATTAATTAAGTTTGAATTCGGCAATTAGATTTCATTGAACATTAACCAATAAACGCTACGAAGCAGTCAGCAAACAAATGATGGGGTATTTTGACAAAACCTTCCTCGACAGCGACAGAAAAAGAAAGAACACATAGGGAGAGACAGACAGAAAAAAATATATGTATACCCAGAGAAAGAAGAAGAAAAAGAATGAAAATGAAAATGAATGCACGAAACAAATCAAATAACGAGTATATCCAAAAAGCACTAGCCAAGCACTAACATTTTATGATGATAATTATACGTATATTGACATGTCTTCGTAAATTATATATGCGAAGGACAATGCGATTGCAAGCAGACAAGGCATCTCGAGCAACAAGAGATGTCTGCAGTTTTTGAGCTTATACGCCTTCCATCCATCCATCCATCCATCCATCTCACACAGTAAGTAATCATTTCATTAGTACAAATGCTATCGATTTCAAATCAATTTGTTGCTGTTACACATCGTGACTGAGCGCTGTTGCAGTTGTGCGGCTCACGACTCGCACAAATGAATGAAATTAAAAATTTCAATCTAAAATAAGTGTCAGCACCATCAACGTCATCGTCGTTGACGTCGTTGTCGCTTATCAAGCCATTATTAAATGCGAATCAATCAAAAATGAAACTGAACTTAAGCCCATGTCCATTTTTAAACGAATCAACATTTTCGCTAATCGATTTGAAATGCACGATTCACTCGGGTGCTCGCGCACAACGAAGAAAAAAAAACCACATGCGCCCACATTTTGTATCCGGTCTTTAAGTTGTTGGCACTGGCATTCCTTCAGCAGTGATTTAACCACGTTCAATGAACACAATGCAATTACCGTTTTAACAAAATATCACATTTCATACCAGCTATTTGTATGAAGAAAAAAAGCGTAACGATTAATTCGTCTCATTTTCGACGCAGATCAAATTTCATGCCAAAAGAGTTGCAAATTGTTAATGATTGAATAGCAAAACGAGTCTCTCTCTCTCTCTCTTTCGCTGTGTGTGTGTGTGTGTCGGAGTCTCAGTGTGGTAGACGGGCGGTGAAGCGTGCAATGATGCTGAAAATGATCAAAAAGGTACTACAAACAGCAGACAAACAATTACGGAGGTCAGCATCGCCAAAATGAATAAAAAAAATATATGTATTAATGTGCAATCTCAGACAAAAGAAGAGTATCACAAAACGAATGAGACACATTCAAAAACCAACCGAACTGAACAAATGAACGAACGAACGAACGCAAAATATCATTGAGTTCAACGCGACGATTCGGCCGAGAGATGAATGCACATTGCTGTTGTGCCATAATAATCAGCATTTAGCCTTTTGGAAAATAAATCAAAGTGAACACTTCATTTTTTGTTGTCTCTCCATCTCCTCTGTCTCTTTCACTGTGTTTTGATTGTTGATACTGCTGCTGTTGCTGCTGTGGTCGGGCGATTACTTTATCAAAATGCGCATGAAGCATACAATGCATTGTATTATCATTCGTTGCCACTAAATCTGGACTGCAATCGAATTGATCGTAAAAATAATAGTTTCGATTCAATTCGATTGAAAATCCAAGTGATTTCAATTTTGGATTTCGAACGAATGCAATTCGTCAATGGCAGCGACAGTAGCGATTTCGGCGGCAACAATTGAACAGATTACAAAACTCTTATAGCTAAGTGACCCACTGCGATCAAGGCAAAATCTTGAGAGTTAATTTCATGTAATTTATTCTCTATTTTTGTTCATCCATTGGTTTGTGGTGACGGTGACGGTGGTTGGGCGCGCAAATGATTGCTAGCGCTCATAATTCGTGTGCAATGGTCTTGGTGCATTTTATTTTTTATTTATTGTTTTGTCGTATAATTTATTTGGTTATTGCCATCAATACGTGTGCATACGATGGATACCATTGTCGCCGGTCAAATGCGACTGAATTAAATCAAACGATAAAAGAGAGCATGCAAGAGTAACAGAGAGAGAGAGAGAGAGAGAGAGAGAGAGAGAGAGAGAGAGAGAGAAGAAGAAGAACAATGAACACAAACGAAACGATTCGTAACAAACCAAAACAACCGAGCGACAAAACGGCCAAAAGAGTTTAAACGCGACGTATACATACGCTTGCAATCGCGCTCTCACTCTCTCTCCCGCCTCAAAATTCGACGACGACCGACGATGAAAAAAAGATGAATAAAAATGCACAAAAATATATATGTATACATTAGGGCGGGTCGATTTTTTTTTCGACAATTTCCCTATGATTTCCGTATTCTATGGGTTATTTCAAGAAAATTTGCCCAAGGAACCATACCTCTATCGTTAAAATCGAGTCCCCTACTTTTTGTAGGTAGATTTTTTTCCAAAATTGACGTTCGTAAGAAATGTTACCTACACGTTCACATCCATAACTCAAAAACTATCGATCGGATCTAATCGCCAGTAGGCGCGTTGGAAAGGTGAGCTCATTCTGATCAATTTACAAAACAAAACCTCCAACATTGGTCCTACGGTTCAAAAGTTACGGGCATTTTTGTCCAAATTTTGAACCATTTTTCCATTTTTTTCATGATTTTGTCCAAAAATATTACTTTCATGGCCATTTTTTAGGCTCAATCCATTATTTTATTCAATTTACAATTCAAAACGAAGAGTTTAAGCCCAAATTTATCGAATTCGGTTGATTAGTTCAGGCGATATTGCTAAAACAAAATAACACATAAAACCAACTTTTTGATTTTTTTTCCCCTTTTTATTTTTTTTTCTACAAAAATTCAAATTAAGAGATAATAAAGTATCTATCAACCTATAATCAAAAAAAAAATATTCAATTTGAGCGAAATATAACGTATTTTTTCAAAACAATACTCTTTATCAACATAAGTGTATAATATACACTGTATATCGACATGTGTTACAGATTACAAGCAACGCCACCATGCTTGACATGTGTGAGATCATACTTTATTGTTTACAACTCAATATAGGGACTGAATATCGGCGTAAAATGTGTTATTCCTATTGCGACGATTCAAATGGCTATTTTTCATATACGCACCAATACATTGTCACACACTGGCATCGTCTCTGTTGTGTTGAATGTATTGAGCACGTTGTTGAGCGCGCAATTCACAATACATTCAACACAACAGAGACGATGCCAGTGTGTGACAATGTATTGGTGCGTATATGAAAAAAAGCATATAATATTGCAGTGTATGCTAGTTTTGTTTGAGCGTCATTTCAGTGAAGTGTTACTTGAAATAACTAACAAATAATCAAACTATTTTGAAATTTAGAAAAGATTTAAAGGTAAGTGTAAAAACATTGCTTACTATTATAGTTAATAGTTATATTATTATTCTATGAAAAACAAATTTAATTCTTTTAGTGACGATTTAAAAAATGGATTCAGAGCCTGATTCATCGCAAGATCCAACAGATACCCAACGCAGTAGTTTGCAACATTTGGTCTCTCATGATGTTTTTTCTTTTGGCGTGGCTTGTGAATTACCTGATATTAATCTGTCAACAAAACGAGATATATTGAAGTATTATTTTTTCTTGGCCGAACGTTCAAAAGCCCTAAGCAAAATGTTTTCGTATAAAACACTTACTCCCCAAGTAGCAGACAGATTGTTCGAAATTTGGAGTCAACTTAATATTGAACTTATACTCAAAGGTAGCATCATTAGAAAATTGAATGCTTTCATTGACGCATATTATAATGCAGTTAAACAACGAGTAAAACGCGCAACAGAATTCCAAAAGTTCGTAGAATCAACAAACGAATTATTCAACATTGGAAAATGTAAATGCAACTTGAAAGAAAACGACTGCTCATGTGGATCTATCCCAGAAAACTTAAAAGATTTCATGCGCGATCAATATAATGACAGAATACAAACGATACCGGAACACGATAGTGGAAGTGAAGAGACGATACCAACGACTATACCAACAATCCCAGTGAGCAACGATCCTACATACACACCAGATGATGACGAAATGGAAGTTGATGTGAGAGGAGTTTCAGAATTAGTTCTATCACCACAAACATACACTCACAGATACAATACTAAAAACTATGCAATGATGTGTGACAGATTTGGTGTGCCTGATAGAATGGGATCAGCATTGGCAACAGCTCTGATGGAAGACCTGGGCGTAAAAGATGCTCATGACAATCTTGTCATCATGGATAAAAGTAAACTTCGTAGAGAAAGAGAAAAATGGAGACAAGATGCACTTCGTAAGCGGTATGATGGCTCGAATTTGATATCATTTTCATTCGACGGCAGAAAAAATGATGCTCTAACTTTAGAAAAAATTGATGAGAAGTTGCATCCAAGGATGGTTAAAGAACCTCATCTAGTTGTTTTGAGGGAACCAAATTCTCAATTGATAGGCTACACAAAAGTAGAAAGTGAAACTGCGGAAAGCAAAGTCAACAAATTGATCGAATTCTTCCAAGAAAAACAACTGTCTCTCGATTCATTAATTGCCATATGCTCTGATGGTGAACCAACAAATACTGGCGTACACGGTGGAGTTTTGCGACTATTCGAAAAACTGTTAAAGAGACCACTGCACTGGTTTGTGTGTCTTCTGCACTTTAACGAGCTTCCGTTCAGACATTTGTTTGACACTTTAGACAAATCAACCACCACTGGACCACGATCAACTACCGGAAAGTTGAGCTCAAAAATTGCTGATTGTGAAAAGCTTCCGGTATGTAATTTTTATAGCTTATTCTTTACCATTTTCCATTCTATTTATTAGCTTTTATGTTTTATTTTCAGGCGGTAATCGATTTTGAGCAAATCGCTTTGGAAAATATGCCTCCTGGTGAAATAAATGTAGATGAATTATCTACCGATGCGAAATACTTATACCAAATGGCCCGTGCGATTTCTAATGGTGAGATTCCGGCGGATTTGGCCAACAACAAACCAGGAGGAATTGCACATTCTCGTTGGCTCACCAAGGCCAATAGATTATTACGGTTGTATGTGACAACTAATAATCCAACTCAAAATTTAAAAATTCTGGCTAACTATATAATAAAAGTATACACGCCAATGTATTTCAATGTTAAGTATTATAGCTCTGCCGTATACGGTAGTACATTACTTTTTAAATTTATTACTTGGACCCGATTTTTACCATCGAATTTACGTCAAGTTGTAAATACAGTAATTCAAGATAATGCATATTTTGCACACTCAGAAAATATCTTGCTATCTATGTTGTTCGATGATAGAATGGAAAAACGAAACATTGCTATCAAGAAGATTTTACATTACCGAAGAGATATTGTCGACCCAACGGAACTTAGAGTTTATAAAAAACCTCTTATAAACTTTAATTGTACGGAATATACAAATATGATTGATTTAAATGACGATACCATTTTATTCGAACCACCGTTTACGCAAAGTCATTCGTATGAACATTTGGAGGGATATTTAAATTACGAAGAGCCACCATTCGATGATCCACAAATTCCTTTACACATCCAAGGAACGGAAAGACATATCCAATTGCTGGCTGCCACTGCTAAACGAGTTGCAGGAAAGAATGTAGAAGGCGCTATGGCGACGACATTAGAGAGCCGTGAGAAAACACCCAGACTTGAAAGCAAACAAGACTTTCAGAAAAAATAATGTTTTTTTTCACATTTTTTCTTTTACTACACTCAAATTGAATATTTTTTTTTTGATTATAGGTTGATAGATACTTTATTATCTCTTAATTTGAATTTTTGTAGAAAAAAAAATAAAAAGGGGAAAAAAAATCAAAAAGTTGGTTTTATGTGTTATTTTGTTTTAGCAATATCGCCTGAACTAATCAACCGAATTCGATAAATTTGGGCTTAAACTCTTCGTTTTGAATTGTAAATTGAATAAAATAATGGATTGAGCCTAAAAAATGGCCATGAAAGTAATATTTTTGGACAAAATCATGAAAAAAATGGAAAAATGGTTCAAAATTTGGACAAAAATGCCCGTAACTTTTGAACCGTAGGACCAATGTTGGAGGTTTTGTTTTGTAAATTGATCAGAATGAGCTCACCTTTCCAACGCGCCTACTGGCGATTAGATCCGATCGATAGTTTTTGAGTTATGGATGTGAACGTGTAGGTAACATTTCTTACGAACGTCAATTTTGGAAAAAAATCTACCTACAAAAAGTAGGGGACTCGATTTTAACGATAGAGGTATGGTTCCTTGGGCAAATTTTCTTGAAATAACCCATAGAATACGGAAATCATAGGGAAATTGTCGAATTTTTTCACTCCCTACAAATCGACCCGCCCTAGTATACATATATTGAAACGTATCATTATATATATATTCGACCTTGATGGATAATTTCGTCTGTTTACGTTCCTTCTTCTTCTTCTTCTTCTTCGTTTTTTTTGCTCTCGTTATTTCGACGCGTATTTGCGCGCGTATGTGTGTGTGTGTGTGCACGAGGCTTGCTCCTTCTACTATATTGTAACATTTGATACGATGCAGCGATTATAACGATGGTCTGGTATGTATACATGTACCTATTGTATATTCAGCCTGTCTGTCTGGCTGGTGTAAAATTATAAGTAGCGAAAAATATCCACATATACACGAAGGTAAAACTATTCGAAAAAAAGCAACAACAACAGCGACGACGACGACGATACACAACCAAACCAACCGTCGAAAAACTCTGAAAAAAAAAAAAAACAACAACAACAAATCGAACGCAGAACGTAAGCGGAATGAAGGAAACACACCATAGTGCAGCACACGCAGAATAACACAAAAACGCGACACTTCTCTATCTCTTTCCTCTCGCCGTCTGGTAATGGCTTTGCTATACCTAGACGGCCCGTGTGTGTGTCTCTCTCTCTGTGTGTGTGTGTGTTTATGTGCTTCAGCCGCATTTAGAAGGTTCTCTTTTCCATTTTCCTTGTGCATTTTGCATTCTGTTTGGTTAGAAACGTGCCGTGCCGCCAACGTTTTGTTCATTTATTGAACAAAACGCCGTCGTCGTTGCCGTTGTTGTTGCTATCGTCGTCGTCATCGTTGTCTGATTCACTCGGTCTCATACCTCAGATGTTCGCCATGCACTCTATAATTCTAATATAGCACAAAAGGCTTATCCATTCGATGCAAACACAAACATTAGTGGTGCTGTCTACCATCTCCCCCCCCCCCCCCCCCAATTCGTTATTGTTTTGAGTCAAGCGATTTGGTTGGTGTCCTTTTTTTATTTTCTTTGAATCGATCACTTCGAGACTGAAGACGATCCATTTTTTTTTCTCTTCACTTGCTTTTATCACCTAACATTGGAAATGCAGTCGAATGAATATTTTTGACTTTATCAATTATTTGAATTTCGCACTTGAGACGGAGTCTATACGTTTCGCTCTCTAGACGCTGCGAATGCGAGACACTCTACAATTATCCAGAGTATGCAGACAGTTTTTCGTCGGTGTGCTGGCTTAATTTCACCGTCGTCGTCGTTGTCGTTGTCGTGGCTGTCTATGTGATTTTTTTTTCAATTCTGTTTTTTTAAATTTTATTATTATCCATGTTCATTGCATTACATCGCTATTTTACGTTATTTTGCCACCGGTTTTTGCAGTAGCTTTGTGATTCGCAGCTCACATTGGAGGCTGCTGCGTTTCATCTCCTTCGTTCAAAGTAAAAGCTACGAAATACAACAACAAGAATGGAATCCATATGCAGGGGTGTTTTACGTTTACGGTGAGCACATTGTTAAATTAATGCGTTCGTATTGGATAGTTTTTTTTTGCGCCCTTCAAGTACAAGTCTTTCTCCATCGGGCTGCATCTCTTCGTGTGCTGCGCTTTTTTTCCTCTCCATCTATTCATTTTCCCTCTCGTTCGCTCGCGCTCAATCGTTCGTTCGCTCTTGATCGGGCAAGTTTTTTTTCAGTGTAATTTTTTTCCCTCTCCCGTTGATCGTCGACGCCGTCATTTATATAATTTTGATTTTGGAGAGAGACCAGTGGGGGCAGACATTGTCTGGTTGTCAACCATATTTTTCGGTTTTGTGTTGCAATCGCGCTATGTCTACGTTGTCGAAATTGTCGTGCATTGCAACTTCAACCGTACGTATGCAGACAGACATACACTCACCGACGACGACGATGACGACGATGACGATGACGATGACGACGACGGCGAGTAACACAGCACACGAGTAGTAACAGCAGCAGCAGCAGCGCGTGAAAGTTGAACGGGATCGAGAGACCTAACTGAATTGAAAAACGATAGCAACAGTAGCAACAGAAAAACGCGTTTATAATATTTAGTATAACAACCACATGCACATTTTTATATGCGTCTAGATGGATGGATGGCTCCAAAAACTAAATATAAAATTCTATTACACATCCATACCGATTGAGTGCATACTGAGAGTGTTCTATTGTATATCGATAGACTTTGACTCTCTCTATCTCACTCTCTCACTCTTTCTGTCTCAATAATTTTCGGTACGTACACGAATTCCCGTATCGTCGGATCTACTCTCAACAAAACTGAAAACCGACTTAAAAAAAAGCACACACAAAACAGAGTGGAAAAAATAGAGAGCAGATTTCAAAGTGAAGCAAAGACGAAAAACAAAAATATACATCGAGAATAAGAGAATGAGTGAGCCGAGTTGAATTCACTCGACGAGTGTGTGTGTATATGTGTGGTGAAATAAATGAGTGCGAGACTGTTTGGGCTTTGCTGAATGTATCAGTTCAATCATCCCTTGTGTTTTTACGTCACTATAAATTGCATTTAAGTCTCACTCATTCTCTTATAAATGCTGGCAGTCTGTTGTTGTTGCTGCTGCTGCTACTTTTTTCCTCGTACCAATTCGACTGTTCTACGTGTGCGTGTGTGTGTGTGTATATATGCTTATCGTCTGGCTGCATTATATTTATGATGAGAATCCGTCTGCGGTACTCACACTTTACTGATATACTTACAGTTATAGATTCGCTCGCTTTTCAACCAAGACTGCAACGATGGAGGCGCCTATGACTACGACACTCTACTTTTTTTGTCATGCTTACTTCGGTGTATGTGTTTATTTGTTCATTATTCAAAAACAATTTTTAAGTATGATTATTACATGCATACACACCGTGGAAAAAAAAACATGGAGAGAAACAAGACGAAAAACAAAGTGTCCACCACCCGTTTGCCCTTTTTACAGTTGTGAAAGAAACTTAAAGAGCAACGACTATGAAGATACAGAAAAAGAAAACAATCAATGAAAAATATAATAAAGGCAAAGGCAAGGAATAAAATCAAAAATTCAAAATACATAGCACAATAACGTCTACATTGTTCCAAGCAATGGAAGGAGTAGCGACAAGCAAAATACTTTATTGACGAGAAAAAGCGAGAGCGAGCCGAGCAAGATAGCAAAAAAAAAAAGTTGTCCGATGGAAGAAAAAAAATACTCATTTTTTGTTTGTTATAATATATAAACAGAATGTCGGGACTCTTGAAAAACAAGCTGCATTTTCATCGAATCCAGACAGATCGTTTGACTGCTTTCATCCCATACTTTCAATGTTGTTATTATTATTGTTATTGTCGTCGTCGTCGCAGCTTCTCTCCGAATTTAATTTTTCGCCCTTTTTGTTCTGGCCCGAGCCGGTATATAGACACCCATAGAAAACCAGAATGTCTCACTTTATTTATATGCACCATGTTTATTTTGCACGGTGTTCTTTTTGTTATTGTTGTTATTGTTCGGCCCGGCTTGCTGTTTAAATATTACCGGAACAATCAAAGTCAAATAATAATTGGGCAAATGCGGTTTACGGATCATGCAGGCACACGATCTTAATGACGTCACTACGCGCGAAAAGCTGCCACTTTTTTTGTTTGGTATACAGTCCGTTTTTTTTGTCGTCGGTTGTACTGTTGTTGCCATTTGAATAACAAATATGGAATAATGGTATTCGATAGACCGAAAACGTTTGCCAAAAATTATGTGTGACCTTCAGCATGTTCTCGATTGAATGATGAAAAAAAAACAGAGGACGAAAAGTGATTGCTGGTGAAAAGGTTCTCACTCTTCTTTGAAACTATTTCAATGAAACAATGCATTTTCGTAGGTAGAATCCATAGTTTTTCACAAGATGGTCGATTTTTTAAAGAGTGTTATCAAGTGTTATTAGGATCTTCTTTCAGAAAGTGTTGTTTCTAAATAAAATGGATGTTTTCAGATGTAAACAATCAAGTTGCAGACATTTCACATTTCAACTTTCGTATATCCATAATTTAGAAGGTATTAATCAAGCAATTGATTAAATCTGGTTTTTGTTAAAGAGTCGCAGACGGACGTTTTTTGTTGCACCGAAAATTTAATACATTTCTCGTCTCGATGTGGATGATGACGACGACGACGATGGTTGGTCGCAAAATCAATAGTGCAAAACGTGTTTAGCAAAATCATAGATTGTTACAAATGAAAAGGAGGCGCGCATATAAAAACACCTCGCAACACAATCCCGGACTGGAAAATCTCGATATCGATAAAAATGATGGAACGATAACAGCAACAGCAACACAAAAATGTATAACAATAACGAGAATCGGATCAAGAATGGAAGCGAACAACAGCAACCAACAGAAGAAAAAACAGTACACTAAAAATGGGATACGCACGCACCCAAGGAACGGTAACAATATAAAACGACAGCAGCACAATCGACGAAAGCATAACCTCGAGAACAATAATAAAAATCAGGTTGTAGAATCCACAGCAACCAACACATAAAATTATGCTGATAATAATTCCGAAAGAATAATTGAGTTAACAATTGATATTGAATCAATTATAGCTGGAGTCGAAAGCGATTGTGACTCGTTCCAAAGAAGAAGAAGAAGTGTCCCATCGTACGTTGCATTGGTTGAATAGAATTTTCGTCGTCGGTCTTATGAAGAGAACGAGAGAGACAGTGTGAGAGAGTTTTTTTCATTTTATTAAAGTTGCCAAATGAAATGGATCTCGAGGCCACCAAGCGAACGATGGAAATAAATAACACCCCGACGAAATGAGAGAGAGAGAGAGAGAGAGAGAGAGAGAGAGAGAGAGAGCGAAAAACGAAGCTCCCGATGAGGATAACTCGAACGTATTTCGAAGTTAAGTGTGTAACGAATTTCTACTTTAACGATATATCTAAAAAAACGCACACGACCAAGATCGCGCGCGCGACAGACAGAAGAAGAACAATAAACGAAAACGAAATAACAACAAAAAATACGTAGCCACATTGGAACAAGTAGATGTAGAAGTAATTGAGAATAATTCGAACTGTACGTTGTCGCATACAAATGCGTGGTGAGCAATGCATCAGTGAAGTTCAAATTCACCGCTGAGTGAAAGGCGCATAGAGCGAGAGAGAGAGAGAGAGAGAGAGAGACTATTATCATCGAAAATGGGCTAACAAAACTAAAAATCGAGCACAGCTAAGTAATCGCCATTATTGCACTCATCATTCTGTCATGATGAATTCGAAATGCTTTCGCACAGACGCTCCCAAGTATCAGAGTCAGAAAGACGAAATGGACACAACTTCGTTGCTGCTACTGCTGCTTTTTTTTGCTCACATTTCCCGCTTTCATTTGGCTTGAATGCATACAAGCACGCACGAAGAATGCATAACCAGACGATCGCATCCATACAAACACACACACACACACACACACACACACGAGCGCTCAGCAGCAATTCGTTGCTGTAATCGCACAATTTTAAAGTTCAAATCAAGGGTTATTTTTCAAGGTTAAATTAAGCCACGAAAATAACAACAAAATTGATTACTGAGCAACACACTTAATTGGAGTCAGAGGGGTCTGAACGCAATAGTGCACATTCACAGTCCAATCAGACACAAGTTTATAGTGGCCAGCCACACCGCCACCATCACCACCACCACCACTACTACTACCATCAATAAAAGAAGCAAAACAACACAAAAAACAATCGTATTATTGCCTTTTTGCGTCCCATTTCTCCAACGATTCCGACCGAAATAAAAAAATAATAATAATATTGTTCGCGATATTGAAACTGTTTGCAGTGACGCCTCTTGGTTATATAGGTTTCTTTTGTGCGTCACACAACGTCCATTGAATGTATCAGCTCTTTTATTAGTCGCCGTTTTTTTCTTCTTCATGGAATAAATTTGTTTATCGTCTGCATGTTTTGCAATTCTTTTATTTGACCCTCTGAAACTGTCACAATTATTGCCTAATTTTGGTTTGTATGTGTGATTTTATTTTTGTTGGCCGTCATTGTTGTTCGTTTTTTTTCTTCTTCGAACTGTATGTTTACATGTTATCACAATCATATATATCATATCGCTTGACTCATAGGATTTGTTCGTGTATCATTGTTAAATGATGAATGTTTTGCTGATATGCATGCAACAACACCAGCTAGCACCAGTAGCAGCAACAGCAGCAAGCAAATAAGGCGAGGAAAGTGTAAAAGAAGACAAAAAAAACCGCATACAGACACGAAATGCGCACGCCAAAAAATGAATCATCGATGCGCAACGAAATTGTCGGTGTTTTGTTGAAATTGAATATCATATTATGGCTATTTCAATATCAAGGAAATGTGTCTACAACATTTCTATATTTACACTTAATTGAATGCGAATGTATAGTCATATCATTTGAATCAAGGGCGAATTCCATTCATCGTTAGTCATTTGACATCGAATTTAACATTTTAAAAGAGTGCCACTGTTTTGGCCAGGCTTTTCTTTCATTCGTGGAAAGCTCGACATGACTGGGCCCTCGACTCGACTCGGTCCGGCTCGTCTCATTCATTGTGTGGGAATTCACCGCCAAATTCAAAATTAAACAAGTTTAAAACCCGTAATAACCAGTAATTTATGGCTTTGGTTAGCGTGTAAGCGGTCTATCTCTCGCTCAGTGTGTATGTTGTAAATATAACGGTTGATGCATTTCGTTTGATGCGCGAGTGAGAAAGAGAGATTGTGTACAATTTTATTAGACATTCTCGTCGAATTATATTTGCATGCGTAAATAGAGCTTGTTGCGTTCTATTTGCTTCCAGTTTATATATTTATTCCCATAAATTTTGTGTGTGTGCCCTTTACATCATGTGTCTGCGTCAAGAATGTGCAACAAAACGTTTCTCAACCTCCCTCTCTTACACTTTTCTCTAGTGTCTAGTCCCATTTTCAATTTCACTCATCAATCCTGCATGTGTTGTGTGTGTCTGTATGACCGACGCAATTTTATGTGTGTGCAATGTGCTGAATGAAGATTTAAACATTTTCCACATAAATTCAAACATATTATGGTTTTACTCCTCATTTGTCCTTGAGTGTGCGTTTGTTTTTTTTTTATTCTTCTCTTCATCCAATATGCGCTATGATCCTGTGCTTAGACTGGCTGCTGCTCTCTTTCCAGCGCTTCACATTTTCACATTGCAGCAACAGCAACTCTCTCTGTGTGTGCTCTGATAGTATCTGTTGCCGTATGCATACCGTCATTTATTCATTTCATTTCGTTCTTTGTCCCTTCATACATATGGATGAAATTGTATACAAAATGCTTTTGCGTCTAGTTTTTGATATCTCTCCCGTAGTTGTCGTCAATGTATTGGTCTTTTCTCTTCGCTTTTTTTTAAGTTGCGTTTAACTTCTCGTTCGTTTGTTATGTTTATTTTTTTTTCTCTCTCTCTTCTGTCTGTCCTATACTTTTCTTCTCGCTCCCGTGTTCATTCGGATTGTGATTTCACTTCTTGGAAAACTCTCCATTTTCCTTTGGAATATTTCTTCTTTTTTCGTTTTGTGTGTGTGTGTGTGTGTGTGTGTGTGTGTGTGTGTGTGTTTGCCATTGTTTTTTCTCACTGTCTTGGCCACCTTGTTCTTCATGCTTTATAATAATTATTATTACGATTATTATTTTGATTATGTACGTGTCGAAATGGCATTAAACTATCTCGGATAATGCTATATTCAGTTTGCGATGCATATTTACCGAAGGGGAAATTTGGTTGTTTTTTTGTGCAATTTATTTTTATTAGCTATATCTTCCAAGTCCACCAGCCAACACGTCTGCGTTGAATCCGTAGGCGAGGCCGTTTTCACGGACAACAAACCGATCACAAGGAGATGATATTAAGAAAAGATAAAGATCATACAAAAGAAAAACACAAAAGTAGTAATAGGTCGTTAGAGTGGAATGAGAATATTATCTCAATTTTTAACTATTGTCTACCCCCCCTCCCCTGTATTCTTTTCTGCCAAGTTTATTCCTTTCAATGTTTATTTTGACGTTATTAGTATTGAATTGCTCGTATCTAATTAGTTGAA